TTTCTTTATTTTGATATAGGAAGAACTTTTCAGTTTCTGTAAGGCACAAGCGATCCAGTATGAAAAGAGCATGGGTCCCGAAAATTCTTCAGAAACAGAGAAATTATCGCAGCCACCGGCATTTGGGCGATCTGCTCGATCTGATAATGTTCCCCTGAATGTCCTAATTGATCAGTACGAGAATTTCTCTAGAGTTCTCGTAGATAATTTCTCTAGTTTCTGAAGAATTTTCGGGACCCATGCTCTTTTCATACTGGATGGAAATATATGCAAGGCACACATCCTCAACGCAAGACACCTTTTTCGGGACGAGAAATAGAATATCTTTGCCTAGGGTGATCGTTGGGCTGTAAAAGCTCCTGATTTATGCTCGTCTCAGCCCAAGCTACGGAACTGCTATTCCAGTTCAAAACCCATGTTAAAAAGTGAACTATTTCCTTTAAGCACCATTGGCATCTTTTGCAACATCACGGACGGAGATATAACCCGCGCCCTGGTGGGGTCTGTTTATAACGCGACCTGGTGGGGGGGGGGGGCTATTTTTTGCCCCCCCCCCTCGTATCTCCGAAACTACTGGACGGATCCGCAAAATTCAAACGGCGTTCGATAGCCCTGTCAAATTTGTCGAAGGAAACCAAATTTCATTGACCTCGGGGTCACCGATGACGTCACAGGTCAGGTCAAAGATAAAATGTTTCACCGTTCACGGGGCTTCTAGGGAAAGCGCTATAACACCGAATAAAACGCATTTTGTCGAAAATCAGCGATAAGACGTCAGTTGTCTAGTACATATGTTGCTATTAGAGGTCACTGGTCATACCAGGTTAGGTCACAGGTCAGGTCACCAAAGGTCACCAAGGGTCACCCCATGAACCCAACTTTACTAAGGTTGTGCGATGCATGTTTTATGGCCAATTTTTCATTTCCAACCCAATGGTGTTGGTTATAAGACCATCAGGTACGGTTTAGGTCACTTTCTGGTGGAGGTCAGGTCAAGGTCAGGTCAAAAAAGGTCAAATTTTAAAGTTGATATTTTTGCATTAAATTGGTATCGATTCGATGCAGCTCGTCACGGGGAGTCTAATGGTGGTCTTTGTTTTGCGCTACGAGGTCTAGAATTGCTAAAAATTGAGTTTGAAAATTTGACGTCATCAATTTTGAACAGTTTTCTCGCTATAACTTCGCCAAAAAAAGAGGTATCAATCTAAAATTTGGTATGTAGATGGAAGGCGGTAAGGACTATCACATATATTCCGGTTTTTGCGAAATTCAAAAAACTTTTTGGATTTTTTGACTATTATATCCCAAAAATCTATTTTTTGATTTTTGGGGGTCAAAATCCAAAAATTTCAAAAATCCGAGATAGCAGTTTTGTAGCCCTGTCAATTCTACAGCTTTTATGTCCTTATCATTTTCTGTATTTGCAAAGCTATAGGCCTGACAGCTCTTCCCGCGGAACCCTTTTTTGGGTCGAAAACGGCAGAACATGACGTCACTCTGACGTCATTTCCGGCTAACCTATCATAGCCTTTGGAAAAATTTTTGGTCACCATGTGTAAAATTGATGTCCGGGAGGGTACTGAAAGTTTGGTGACGATCGGCGCAGCGGTTCTGGAGATATATCGAAAAGTCTGGAGGGGGGGCAAAAAATAGCCCCCCCACCAGGGCGCGGGATAAGCTTGCAACAAACCCTATGTAAACGCGTCTAATGCTGCATTAATTTTCCATTCACGCTGGTGAGCAGCCAGCGTGGGACGCTGGCCAACCGGCAGACCTGCCAATGTCCAGAATTAATCACTGTACTCTTACACATACACACCGGTGCAATCGGCAGTGTATTGCTGTCCGGACATCACTCACACACATACACACCGGTGCAGTCGGCAGTGTACATATCGCAGCCGGCAAGGTCACAGGCAGGAAAACCGGCCCCGCCGCGCCGCCGCATCGTTTTCCATGGAGCGACCGGAGCTCGGCGCACGCAAGGCGCGGCGCCCGTCCCGTCCGTCCGCCGCCCCCGGCTGCGCTGCACCCCTGTGTCGCGTGATGACGCCGCTCCACGAGCTCTGTACGGACGGTGAGCTCTGTGTGGACTCAAGTTTGACCCAGTGGGCTCTGTACTGTACGCCCGCCGCTCTGGCCCAGTGAGCTAGGTGTGGCCCCAGTGAGCTAGTCAGGTGCGGTCATGGCGTCACGGCTATGTGAGCTCCGTGTGGTAAAGGGTCCTGACACTGGACCGGGATCGGCCCAATCTCCGCCAGATGTTCGAAATTACGCCAGATTAGGCCAGCCGGAGAGCGGATTCGGTCGACCGTGACCTGTCCTCTCACCGGCCGCCCCGGAAAGCTGGGATCGGGCTCTGAAAAAAAAAAACAGATTCTATCCAACATCAGCGCATCAGCATGCAAGAGATTTGTCCTTACCTATGTTTGCATGGCCGTGAAATAAAACGTTTATTACGACATGTTATGTGCCCTATTTTATCGACATTGTTTCTCACGGGAATACGTGACCATATAAATTTCGATGGGTCAAATGATTTCGGTTCCGTCCTCATGAAGCGTTCCAGCCACCATTGGGTGTGAATCAGGGTGAAAATAGCACATGTTCCCCAAGTGTGATAGGCACAACTGGTGTTCGCACACCGCGCCAGACCCCATGTGTCAGCTGTCCCCGTAAAACGGAGCCATCGCATTGTGAAGTCAACACCTGAACTCAAATCTAATAGGCACTTCGTTTAGTGTGTTTCGGCTGAAACGTCTATTTCATATTCAGATATGGAAACTGCTATCGGCTCGTAATGCTGCCTTAATCGGTTAGAGACTATGCGTGCTGATCCATCTTACTGAAGAGCAGTGCTGAGCTATCACACTGAATCTGGTGGAATCTATTTCCTCCCACTGGAGGTCACTTTATGAGGTCTCTGCTGCCGCACTCGACCGGCATGGATCAGCTCCATGGATTTTACGAGGGATGCGCTTTTTTTGTAAGTGTGAAAGGACCGAAAGCTGGCAAAGCAAGACTTGATGCATATTTGTGTGACTAACCGAATGCCTGTGAATCTATATTTCGATATACCTATGCTATGAGGTTTGACCAATATACGTAGCTTCTTCATTGAATACAGAATCAAACACTACGGCACACCGTCGCGTCGTGTCTCCCACTATACATATCCCGCCCTGCCGGGGATTCACTGTCGGCCGCTCCCCGCCGGCCAGCCCTGCACGATCGGCGAGCGTGCCGCCGCCACGGCAGGGAGGGTGCCACCCCACCGCGCCGGCGGGCACACACCCGAACAAACCAAACCGGTCAGTTGGCCGCGCCGCACCAGCTACTGGAGAAATGAAAGTGGCCGCGCGCGCGCGACCGGCTGCCTCCGGAGAGGGCGAGAGGGCGGCACGGTGGGGAGAGAGGGCGGGAGAGGCGCCGAGGGAGGGGCGCCAGCGAGAGTGATCTGGTCGGGGACGGTCACGGCCGCTGTCCGTTCACCGTTACACATGACGTCACTCAGCTGCCGGCCGGTGACGTCATCTGAGGGCCGAGCCAGGGGCCGGCAGGGAAGGTGACGGTCGGGTCAGAGGTGGACACCATCGGCAAATAAATACCCGTTTGTCCCCGAGCTTTTCTTGTCTCTATATTGCAACTAACTACTAAATTTAGTCGATCAGTTGCCCGAACTGGAGCATACGAAGGGCTTCACTTAGGTTATATTGTCAATTGTCTCAGATTGCTACACTTTTGCCTGCACCATCGTATTTGTATTCCCTTAAACATTATTGACGATGCAATGCCTTCCAAACTGCTGACCAATGAAACAATGTTGCATGTTGTTGCACCGTGCACTTCACACCTCGCAGTGTTGTCCACATAACGCAGGATACGTTCTTGTTCCGCAGTTGGCGTCCCGGCTCGAGTACGCCCGGTTCGAGAAGGATCGCTGGAAGCAGGTGACCCAAGTCGACTGGAAATCCATCAAGGATGAGAATGTCAAGCGCCAGTTCAAGGTGCTCTCCAAGCTGGGCACGGCTGCCCTGCCAGAGGACAGGTTGGAGAAGGTGAGCTGCTGCTTTATGTTCTTTTATTTGTAGCGGAGGCAATGTTAAATAATAGGACAAGACAATATTAAATAATTACGACCATAGCGCGTCTGCGTCACATGGCTTCTGAACATTTAGGTACCTAGCCAGCTTGCTTTGCTCGCCATTTATTGGCGTCTTTCAGCAATATCCGCACTACCTTTCCTGGTGTTTCGGCGCCACACCTCCGAACCGCACACAATTTGTGGCGGACCATCCGCAGAGTTATGTAGCGTCGCGAACAGTCGTGACCGGTCGGCGATGGTTATCACGCGCCTCTGCCGCCCGGCACGTAGGAGAGCCGTCGGCCAGTCTGCGCCTCACTGCATACAATGCGCCTCAGTGGCATCCCTCAGTCAATATGCTCTAGCTGGTCTGCGTGGTATAGGCTCGACACTGCCTGGCATGACCGTGTAAATTCAATGGCGTGGAATATGTCAGCCTGCTGAGGATTGACTTATATTGAAAGTGATTATTTATTTCACTTAATTTCAACTGTTTAATTCTTAAATAAATCTGATTTGGAACATGTGGCGAACATTATGTTACGATACTATTTTTCTGTTTATATCAGCATCATCATCATCAACCAGTTTATAATTCATAACATCGCTATGCATTTAAGGGATATAGGCCTCAAATTCATAATTTATTCTCTCGGTACGTGCCTCATGTTTTAGCGTTGGATCCGCCTCCTGTATCGCGCTGACGTGTGACTGTTTCTCCACCTTTTTCGTTTTTTCCGCAGTACGACCAGTTGCAGAGTGGCATGGAGCGGACGTACAGCACGGCCAGGGTGTGCAACCTGAACGGCACCAGCTGCGACCTCAGCCTCGAGCCCGGTACGGCACACTCTGACGGGTGTGACAGTGGCACGTTTTGGGATACGACTCAGGGTTTTCAATGTCACTCGCAGGGGCGCCGCCACGGATTTTTGACTGGGGGGGACGGACTGACCGACTGAAAACCCAAAAGTAGACATTCTTACCGTGGCTTTTTCGGTCGGATGCATTCAACGTTTAAAGCAAATATGCCACTTTTAACATAGGGTTTTGAACTGAAGTAACAGTTTTGTAGCTTGAGCTGAGACGAGAACAAATCAGGAGCTTTTATGGCTCAACGATCACCCTAGCTAGCCAAATATATCGGTATCGATTTTAGGTTTGAAGACTGAAGTCATTCCCATAGATTACACCTTGTCATTCTCTTACCGAGGAATCCATTCCCTTACGGAAAAATGCTAGCCAATCAGCATTCAGCTGGTTTGAATTACATACTATGCTTGGTCAACGCGTAATTAGCATCCGCTGCAATATACCTAGGTAAGTAGCCTCTACGAAAGATGGAAAATAGTGATGTAAAAATAAATATAAAATCCTTTTGCAAATATTCATTATTTCCTGACCATTTTAAGTTTAAAAACTCATAAAACTGTGGCAAAACAACTGGTTTGAGGAAAGTAGTTTAGGTACATAGGTGTCGATTTCTACCGAGTTGGGGGTGCCCGGGCGCAGCAAATCCGCCGCCGCCCTAGCGGTGACCTTGACCCGCGCGGTCTGTTGAGGCTCCAAAGCCAATTGCTGGCCGAGCCGGCGGGAAATTTGGAGAGCTCGGGCACCCCCGACTTGGCGGAAATGGACACCCATGTTTAGGTATTTCCTTAAAGTAATGGCTATAGACCGCATTCCCACCGAGTACCTACCTACATATATACACATCTGAGGCCTCTTGCACCAAACTACCTAGCTAGGTAAAATCGAAAAACCGGTTTCAGAATAAGCTAATCTAACGGTGGTATATTTGTTCGCAATAGCCCAATACATACTCCTACATGTGCTTGCTAAATTTTGCACGCAAATTGTTACAATTGAGGCTTGGACTGGGTATACGTTGCAAAATAATCCAAGCATTGGTGCAAGAGGATTTTGGTGCAAGAGGCCTCGGATGTCCGATTCAGTTTGACACGGCAAAGCCTTGTGTTCTACCACGGTATAATTGCTGATGTATGCCACTAATATGATCGATAATGCATAGGTATTGCATATCCGCGTGGGGGAGGGGGCGTTGTATAGTCACAAATCTCTCTTTTTGGTTTGTGCACGAATGGGCGCGAAGCGCCGCGAAAATTGGCAAAAAACATTAGGCAAAACTGCTCCAAAATACGAATTTTGCAGCCCGTGTAACAAGCTTGATACCAGAAAACCTTAGGTCAGGAAAACCAAGTCAAGTAGTCAAGTCGCCTCAAAGTTTTGTGGTCCTGTCAACCGTATAGCTTATTTCTTAGAAGCTGGAAATTTAGTGTAGCGTGACTGCAGAAGTGTGCGGTCGGAGCCGGAATCAGTCGGAGTTGACTGTTTTGGCCAGTTTTGGCCAGAGTCGGAACTCGGAGTTGAAGTCTTCGAAAATGTTCGGATTTTGACTTCGAGGTCGGATTGGTGTAAAGTCATGTTCTTGGCTGGTTAGACGAAATATATTAGGCCCGTGTTCGGCCAGTCGTGTTATACGACACACGTTGATCACGATATCAAAAATCGGCAGTTCTGCGATGACATGGGTCGGATAAGTGCTGGAGATTTTGTTGGCCGAGATGGCAGGGGTCAGACCAATGCATGTAGGCCCACACCCCATATACTGAGTATCTAAACCTCCTGGACCCTCTCAGGTTCGGCACCGGCCGTTCCATTTCTTCCATCTTCAGGACAGTCAAATCCTTCTCCACGCCGCAACCCCCTGTTCCGGGCTGGACGGGCAACTCTATCCCATGCGGGAATGGCTCCACTGGAGCTATAGTCCTTTGCCGGGTGCAGTGAGTGCCAGTGGGCTGGGCTGCCTGTTCAATTGGTTGGGTTCATCCCAAGTGGCTCACTGGGGTGGCTGCCCTGACTAATGTCTCCCACTAATTCTTTCATACTTGCGGCTCTGAAACCTGCTCTGAAATGGTCTCATTGGACCGAAGGGCCTAATCAAATTTCGAGTAGGATAACAACCAGTAAAACGCCTTTGGGGCGACCAACGGAGCGAACGAGAGGGTGGGGTGGGCCTTGCACGTGCGAAATTGCGAGGGGATACCTCCAACTAACTTGTGCACTGCACCCTTCTAACCGGTCCCTAACGATGTGCCAAATTTGAGCGCAATCGGCCTAGCCGTTCTCGAGATCTGGAAGCGGCACCCTGCACGTGCGCACGTGCAAAATGGGTCCCAACTGACTTTTGCACGGCACCCTACTAACCGGTCCCTAACATGTATCAGATTTCAGCACAATCGGTTCAGCCGTTCTCGAGATCTGGAATCGACCCCTGCATGTGCGCACGTGCAGCAGCACCCCAACTGTGGCACATGGATATGCATTGCCTAGTGGGTATACCTACCTACATGCCAACTTTCAGCGCAATCAGCCCAGTAGTTGCCAAGATATTGAAATTGTTACAAACTAACTGACACTTCTTCGTTTTTCACGTGGCACGTGCATATGGGGTCACTCACATGCATCGGGAACAGTCCGATACTCGTTAGAAGGAACGAATCTAGTGCTACCTTACAAAAATTACCGCATGTAAATCGGTCAAGTGGTTGCTGAGATATAAGCCTAGCAAAAGCGTGACCACGGCATACTCAGAAATTTCCGCTAACCTACGAAAGACTACGCTCGCTTCGCTCGCTCCGTAATGAGTTTGGGGGGGACGTCCCCCTTCCATTCTGAGAGTGGGGGGGACGCGTCCCCCCCGTCCCCCCCGGTGGCGGCGCCCATACTCACTCGTTCGTACTATCTGCAATGTTTCTCGCAGAGAAACAAGCAGCTGAGAGTCAGCTGCGATATCCCTTACATCGTGCCACTCATCTGCTTATCTCACATCCCCTGGGCGCTAATCTGACACCCTCTCTGAATCTGCTTTGTCTGTCAACACTCCCTGGGTCTGTCTAACACCCCCTGGGTAATCGTCTGACACCCCTGGGTCTGTCTGACCGCTCCCTCCCGCCGCTGGTCAGATCTGTCGGAGATCATGGCCAACAGCCGCGACCCCGAGGAGCTCGAGCACGTCTGGCTCGCCTGGAGAGAAAACACCGGCAAGAAGATGCGCAACTCGTACAAGGAGTTTGTGGAACTCATCAACGAGGCGGCTGAGCTAAACGGTGAGTGGATGGGCGCATAGACATCGATGTATAACCTGAGTGATACCTACGGACCGCGCAGAGATCCATTAATGGATGCACTGACAGCGCAGCAATGTTGTCCGACTCTGCCCACTGTTATCAGCGTTAGGGATCACGTTATATTTCTTATTTCATGATATATTGGTAGAACTGTCACTTTATATATGGGGCGTAAGGGGAAAGTACGTACAATGTGACATAAATGTAAAAAATGCAACGTATTTCTCACATTTGAGCACCAGAAATTTGATCGTTATCGGGTGATGAAAGCGGTGCTCGTGTGTAACTACGCACTGGATCGGCGGTATCTGCCAGCGAGACAGGGACCATTAGTCACTATGCTGCCCACGGCTGATGGCACCGTGTTCGATACCATTACCGGCCACTGATGTTATTACCTGTATACACCATCGCTTTCCAGTCGCCCCGATGTCCCCTGAGTCTCTGCCATTCCCTGGCACGGTATACCGTACCGCAGGCTGAGACGGCGCTGTATCACAATATCATACCTACCCATTGTCGAATGTCGGGTCCTGACCGTGTGTCGTGCCCTGACTATGTGTTCCGTGCCCGCTGCCGTTATACCCTGACCGGGACCCACGCGCCGCAGGTTTCTCGGACGGCACCGAACTGTGGCTGGACGTGTACGACACCGCCGACTTTCAGTCGCAGATCGCGCGCCTCTGGGACCAGCTGACGCCCCTGTACGAGCAGCTGCACGCGTATGTGCGCGGCCGGCTGCGCCAGCACTACGGCGAGGAGGTGGTCAGCAGGGACGGCCCCATCCCGGCGCACCTGCTCGGTGAGACGGGACACGGGATAGGGTGGCACACTGGTCATTAGACTTGGCATTATGAGGCATCACTTATGTATAAGATCCTCTAAACTTGGTAAAAACTTGGTATTTCGATCAATTTTAGGTGGTTTGGTTTCCGGTAATTTGCCATTATTTAAGTTGGTATTTGGTTTGGTATCGGTTTCAAATTTTTTCTCTACTTGACATCATTACTGGTTAGGATGAGACACGGGACATAGTAGGCCACGGGATACGGTGGGACACGGGAACTAGAAGACTGTTTGTGGGACACTGATTCAATATGTGGGACACGGGACATGGCTGCAACTGGTGCTGAAGTTAATACTGAATCGCAATATCAGCAACGTTTCCTCCGTTGTCAGCAAACAGAAGAGGCAGCTCAGTGCTTTCATACTTCCTCGGTCACTTCTACAGGCGTATGTATCCCGAGGAATGTGCTTAAACAACTTGAAAATGTAATTATATCACGCCATAGACTGTGACATATGTTGTCTGCCAGCACGCGATTTTCGTTGTGCCTCTGGTATGCTGGGTCCTAAGTTATTCAGCATCCAGAGATGATTAACACACTCTAAAAACAAAAGTACACGGCCCTAAGAAGTACAAACGAGCAAACACAATTTAGCATTGGGATGGTAATCATTCTTGCAAGCTAGAAATTCATGACCGATTTTCTCACTACCATTGCTGATGGTCCGACCCTTCATATTGATGTTTGCGAATTGCGGTCTTTGCGTTTTTTTTTCGTTCACGGAGGATTAATTCCCACCATATCTGTCCTTCCAGTTCCTACGGTACGTTACACCATCTGAACAAACCACAACTCTACATTGCTGAATTACTGACTTGCCGCTGCATTATATACGCGACTGAATATTGAGCGATTCCTTTACATAGTAGCGCAGTCTGAGTGTTTGAACTGGTCTCGTTTGTCGCCGAGGCGGCTTTGTGGTCCATTGTCGACTGCCCAGGAGTGGCTGTGACCGGTAGCAGGCCCTCTGTTCCATATTTGGTCACTGCACGGGCCTGTCACGGGTACAGGACGCCGTCCCGTGTTTGGCCAGTGCGGGCCTCTCACGGGGACAGAGCGCACTCAGCGGCCGCCCAGCTGTTTGTCGCCCCTGCGCTCATTATCGTTCCATCGTCCCCATCGTCCGAGTAGCCCAAACCACCTGTGGCCAGACCATCACACCCGAACACACCGCACCACCGTGTGGGGATCTGGTGATAACGGCCGGCCGACCAGCTGATTTTCTGGCGTTTCCAAACACAGATGCATCGGAGGATCCCCGATATTCGGTCCTTCACGTATTGATAATTGTCTGTTCTACTCCAAATTAAACGTTATTTCAGGGCGTATTTCATGTCTGTGGCCGCGTAGACGTTCGGTTTGAATTTCAGCTTAGGAAGCGTGCAGAGGTCTCGCGGCTGCGGCTGTCTGCAGCTAGTAGGTGTGTACTTGTTATGCGGCGCAGCATATCTTCAGGCGCGCAATACAGAGCCATCTAGTGACAGCAATTCCAACTACACGGCTGCGTCGTCACCGCTAGGTCGTCCGACCGGCCCGACCTATTTCTTACTCGCACGTGTCATGCGGCGCAGCATACCTTCAGGCGCGCAATACAGAACCATCTAGTGACAGCAACTCTTTACCTGCATATCAAGTACATCAAGTATACGTCAAGTACATCAAGTACATCAAGTACAACTCCAACTACGCGGCTGTGCCGTCACCATTGACCTATAATAAGACCTATTATTTCTTGCCTTACCCGTAAGACGCTGGTTGTATCAGTCACCACCGCGACTAAGAAGATGCTGTCGGAGAAATACTTATTATAGGTCAATGGCCGTCACCGCTCACCGCTACGGCGTCCGACCCATTTCTTACTCGCACGTGTCATGCGGTGCAGCATACCTTCAGGCGAACGATGGCAGAGCCATCTATTGGCAGCAATCGAAACTACATGGCAAATTCCACTATAAGTGGAATTTGCCTTGCCATTGCCCTGGTCTAAGCAATGGCGATTTGTCAGTAGAAATGCCTAAAAGTTGAGACATCTACCGGCTTACAATAATAAAGATTCAAAAAAGAGAAGCGAAAGACAAGCTATCATATCTCCATGTGCAAATACCGTACCTGAATCCGAATGCCTGAATGTATCCTTATGTTAGATAAGGCTATTTGTAGTGCGTCAGCCACACATAAGGAAGCCGCGGGGCAACGTTTTCATGAGCTGCATTTTTTCGAGGACCAATATCTATACCAGCGTCGGCTCCACGCCACCCGACCGACCCCAGGGCTGACGCCACGACATCTGCCGTTTCAGGGAACATGTGGTCTCAGTCCTGGGGCAATCTGCTCGATATCTGCAAACCGTACCCAGAGAAGGCCAGCGTTGACGTAACACCGCAGATGAAAGCGCAGGTAAGTCGGTGACTGAGGAAGCCCGCAGCTATTGACGCAGCTGTTATGTCACCAGCAAATTCAATATGTAGAAAGTCATTCACCCGGAGCGATGTCTGCGCTGTTGTGTTTGAAGTGCTTTTCTGACTACTGAGTTTGAGTTCGGGAAATAAATTCTCGGCACCAAAGCGGTGCTTAAATATTTCAATGTGTAACTGCTTTGAAAGGACAACTGAATTCTTGAGAGTGATCCGTGAGGAATACTCCTCACATAAATCGCTCCAATTAGGTATAATAAATATATTACGGATGCACTCATTGAGTGCTAGTCTTTGACAACCCTAGAGCGACGTATGTACACAAAGCTAGTTATTGATTCAATGGTTGTAGCTAACGAGACAGAGCGCCTGTTGCGGAAGGGACGGTGAGCTGGTTTTCCTCTCTCGCAGGGCTACACGCCGCTGAAGATGTTCCAGATGTCAGACGAGTTTTTCACCTCGCTCGGTCTGATCCCGATGACGCCCGAGTTCTGGAACAGATCCATCCTGGAGAAGCCCGACGACGGCCGCGAGCTGGTCTGCCACGCGTCCGCCTGGGACTTCTACGACGGAAAGGATGTCCGGTAGGTGACCGCTGGAGGCCGGTGTCGCACGTCCGCGTTCAGTCCTTGACTTCACTTAGAGCTTCACCGTCTGGTGAGAAGCTGCTGACGCCTGTTGAAGCTGAATTAACTTTCCCTTCTTTAGCTACTTGATTAGAACGGCTCGAATAAACGTCACCCAAAATAAATCCACTTATCATTGGTGTTACGTATGTTTTTCAGAAACCCAATGCTCAATAGCATATCTTGTGTATGTTTATTTCGTGAGTCAATTAAATGGTTGCCTATGTACGATCGTAAAAGGTTAGACCGACCACGATCACCAAGAAAATGTCACCCACGTCATTATACTGACTAGTGACTACTGCTACAGGGTGTCCCAGAAGTCTTGAAGCTTTTTTATTTTTATCGTGTGACCTTGTTATGCCACCGATTAAGTCAAATGATGCCTTAAACGAAAGAGAATTAACCGAAGTTTTGTATTTTCATGCTTAGAGTACCACTTTAGTCAGGTGGCCCCCGTTGTGACTGTGAGTCGCACAAGAACGAGCGCGAGAGATCACGTTCTTCGCTGCCGCCAAGATCTCCCGATTTGCGAAACACCGGTGTCGCCATGCCCGTTGCTTGTCAGCTTCAGAGCCTTATTCCCGGAAGCGAGCCAGGAAACAGCGTATTGCATCCCCGAGAAAATATCAGCAACATATTGATTTACTGATCAGAAAGTCTTCTGAGATGTTTTCACGCATCCACTACGAAAATAAGGCTCAGCTGCTTGAGCGCGCTAAGCAACAGCCCATTTTAATCCTTTGATTTGTCGCATTATTATTATGAGGCTAAGACAAATATCAGCCTGCCAAAAATAACATTTGCGACATATATTTGCGACAGGTTGATATTTGTCTTCGCCCCATAATAATGCGACGAATCAAAGGATTAAAGGGACCCTCCCACCTTCAAAAAAGTTTATGAATTGGCATGAAAGTGATGTCGCTCGGTTCAGAAAGAGCGAAAACGAATATCTACCAAATTTCCCCGAAGAATATTCACCGGTTCTCAAGATATTAGACTTTTACATTTGTTTACTTTTTGGGATCTCCGCTGTTCCTAGCGACTTTATTTGGAAGCAATAGTTTGGCAGCTGAAAGTGCGGCACTTGTTGCGCGCAAAGCAGCATATACCACCGCGTGCTACAAAACGTTTTAGTCAAACATTTAACCCTCGCCGGACCTATTGGTTTTCTACATACGCGCCGGCCGAGGGGGGGGGGGGCGGGTACGACCCCCCCCCCTCGCCGTTTCGCCCCTGGTGGAGCTAGCGCGTCGCGGAAAAAACGAGCGTGTGCGCCGTTACGAGACGCAGAGATTGGTACCCGATTTTAAGGTCCTAGGTCAACCGGTGACCTCTGAGGTCAGGTCAAGTGCCCCAAGGTACGGTTCAGTTTTTGGTGAATAACTTCGCCAAAAACGGCCGCAGAGCGCCGATTTTGGCAGCATCGTGTTTGCCTCGCTCAGGCGCGTCGAATGATATACTTTTTGTCCGGGTCAGGTCAACTTGGGGTGTTGACCTCAGGTCAAGGTCAGGTCAGCACCCCCAGGTCACGAAGTTGGTCGAAAGAGGTCATGTCGCATATCATTCGATTCGGCAGGCCTTCCTGAGTCCATTGGTGCCTTCCCCGACTCGCTAGCTCAATTTGATCAAGAGTTATTGACGAAAAACTAATTTGACCTTGATGACGTCATAAATGACGTCACGCAAGGTCAACATTGCAAAAGTGACGCATTTAACCTTGCAAGGAGTGCATCAAATCACGATTCTGTGTGCTTGAGATAGTTGGAGATCGTTCCCGGCGCCAGAATAGCAGTTTTCATTTTTCCCCATTGACTTATAATGGTGAGGTCACGAAAATGACCTGACCTCATATGACCTTTAGGAAAAATCCGAGATATACAAGTTGTGGGACTCATAATGGATACTAGATCCTGCAAGTTTCATTTCCCTGTGACATCTCCTCTGGCAGTGAGGGCGTTGCGAAGTTGCGACATCTGAAGACCGTGCAGAGGTTCACTTATGACGTCATAGGTCAGTGACCTGACCTGACCCAAAAATGCGGTTGGTGTCAAAAGATGCGGCTTGGATCAAAGGTCAGGTATGCCAAGTTTCAGCTCTCTATCGCCAGCGTGTTCGGAGCTATCGCGAAAAAACCCTATGGGGGGGGCGGCACCCGCCCCCCCCCCCTCGGCCGGCGAGGGTTAAAAATCGTTAGATATCTGCGCTGACGTCACACATTCAGAGGGGTATTCTTATGCATTAGCCCCTCTGAATCAAAATGCTGCAATTTTGAAATTCAATATTTCCGATTGAAGGCATTTCTCGATGTTGTGAGTGCCGAAACCGGTAATTGTGAGCCAGGGACCCCATTTTGGCTATCTCAACTCAAATCTAATGTTAAGGTGGGAGGGTCCCTTTAAAATGGGCTGTTGCTGAGCGCGCTCAAGCAGCTGAGCCTTATTTTCGTAATGGATGCGTGAAAACATCACAGAAGACTTCCTGATCAGTAAATCATTATGTTGCAAATGTTTTCTTGGGGTCTGGGGTCAATACGCTGTTTCCTGGCTCGCTTCAGGGAATCGGGCTCTGAAGCTGACAAGAAACGGGCATGGCGACACCGGTGTTTCGCAAATCGGGAGATCTTGGCGGCAGCGAAGAACGTGATCTCTCGCGCTCGTTCTTGTGCGACTCACAACGGGGGCCACCTGACTAAAATGGTGCTCTAAGCATGAAAATACAAAATTTCAGTTCTTTCTCTTTCGTTTGAAGCATCATTTGCCCTAATCGGTGGCATAGCAAGGTCACACGACAAAAATAAAAAAGCTTCAAGACTTCTGGGACACCCTGTACATGATCTTACGTGTGCGTCATGCTCGTTAATTGGTGTCACATGTCATTAGGATGTTCGACAACCGATAACTAGCAATGGCTCCACCACACATCCATCGAATTAATGAGAAAAACAAGCTGATGCCATAGCTAAAACCATAATTGCTTGCATAAGTCAGTCATCAAATGTCACGCTTGAACGCACCAAGCAAGTGACGTTCGATACATTTGAAGAAATTCTCTAAAAAGTGGGAAGTTGGCAAACACAATTTAAGAAAGTTAAGGGACACACACTTCTTGAAAATCCGGGAACACCGGTGCCTTCTCCTACATGTACAGAGCTGACCCGTGGCTGATGCGAGCAGCAGTGGTGACGTCTCATCCATTGCAGGATAAAACAGTGCACGGTGGTCACTCTGGAGGACCTGATCACAGCCCACCACGAAATGGGGCACATTGAGTACTTCCTCCAGTACGCTGGACAACCTCAGGTCTTCAAAACAGGTGCCAACCCAGGTAACTAGCCCCGCCCGCTGGCGTTTGGTTCGTTGGCATGATAAAGCAGTGCACTGTCATTACGATGGAAGACTTTGTCACCGCCCACCACGAGATGGGCCATATCGAGTATTATCTGCAGTACGCTCGGCAGCCGCAGGTCTTCAAAACGGGCGCCAATCCAGGTAACAGCACCACGGGCTTGGTTTGGCACTAATCTTCGTCCACTGGTTTTGGATGTATGATTCACGTACTCATAACAGCTCTTCGTATGCATAGCTGCTTGGACGGTACACATTTGAGGCAAATTGTTCGTGCTTGACAGACTTTGGATGTTTTCTTTTTTCCATCAACTTAACGGATCCTGACAACCGCCGTAGTCCGAAGTCGGTAAGAGGGCCGACCATCCCGCGCCGCGCCGACCACGGGAGCCCCGCCGCCGTGCCCTCAGCTCTGTGACGTGCCGCAGGTTTCCATGAGGCCGTCGGAGACACGCTGGCCCTGTCAGTGGCCACGCCTAAACACCTGAAGAAGATCGGACTCCTGGAAGAGGTCATCAACGATCCCGAGGTCAGTGCCAAGCGCTGAAACCGACTTCCGATGTCAGTCGTAGGACGACCTTGAGTCCCGAGGACAGTGCGAAAGACGGCTCTCTGCCGACTGGCAACAATAGGTCGGACACGGGGTCGGCTCTACGGCAGCATTCACCGTAACGTGCAACTAAATAGATGGGCTGCTGCTCCGTCCATTCTTTTTTTTCCGTGTCCACCATTTGTAGCGCATTTCCATTGGTGTCTGATCTGCACATAAACCGCCGCACTCGGCGGACCCGTATGCCGCCCATCACTGCCGTCCGCCCACCGTTCTGTCACGGCGCCGTACCACCCCAGGTGGACATGAACTTCCTGATGTCGGTGGCGCTGGACAAGATCGCCTTCCTGCCGTTCGGCTACGTGATGGACAAGTGGCGGTGGGGCGTGTTCTCGGGCGACATCTCCGAGGACGACCTCAACTGCGAGTGGTGGAAGCTGCGACTGGGCCTGCAGGGCATCGAGCCGCCGCAGGTGCGCTCCGAGATGGACTTTGACCCGGGCGCCAAGTACCACATCCCCGGCAACGTGCCCTACATCAGGTGAGACAGCGAGAGAGAGAGGGAGGGAGTCGATCACCGTCTATCCCGGTCTTTAGTCATTGAATCCCCATAAACTGACAACCGTGTCGCAGTGTCACAGCTATCTGTCCGGCTCAGGTGAAAGTAAATGCTCTACCGTGATCCTTGGTCTAGCCAATGACCTGCTCGTCTGCTGGTTTCAGATACTTCGTGTCGTTCATCATCCAGTTCCAGTTCCACAAGGCACTGTGTATCACGGCCAACCAGTACGACCCCAACGACCGGGCGCGGCCGCTGCACCAGTGTGACATCTACAACAACAAGGAGGCCGGCAAAAAACTGGCGTTAGTAATGACCTACCGGCACTTGGCGCTTGATTATCCATGTCCTGTCTAATATCGTATTCAGGTTCATTCGTGAACGTTTGCTTTGAAGGCCTAAACATGGCATACCTAAGCATGATGCTGAAAAATATTGGCTCAGAATTGTGACAGAATGGAGATGGCCTCGGGAAAACGTTTACTGTGACACCCCAATGTAGCCTTTCCGTGTACCTCGCATATTCAGTGGCCTTGACATCTTCTTCGCTAGACTATCGATCATACCTTTCAAAATCTGCGATACCTTCGTTATAGAACACACCCAGCCTCGACGGGCTAACCCGCGCGCCGGTTTCTGCCCGCGGCCAGCCTATCCCACCTTTACCAGCCGCCTGACCGCCCTCCGTCCGTCGCCAGTAAAATGCTGTCGATGGGCGCGTCGAAGCCGTGGCCGGACGCGATGGAGGCCATCACGGGACAGCGCGAGATGGACGCCACGGCGCTGCGCGACTACTTCCAGCCCCTGGAGGACTGGCTGAAGCGCGAGAACCAGGAGAACCAGGAGATCATCGGCTGGAAGACCGGTCAGTGCAGGCGGGAGCGGGAGGGCAGAGAGCTGACTAGTGATCGGTCCTTCGTCAGTCACAACATATTCACGCTGCAGTCTGCACCGAGACAAAGGCTTGGCGTGCTTTCAATAGTCTCAGTGCTTCTGTATTTAGGGCCTTGGGTGCTTCGATCTCTGTTGCGATCTGAAAGGTCCGTTTCCTGGGCATTGGGCCCTTCAAAAGTAACATGAGTTGGCTCGTCGTGTTTGCTCCAGGCCTCGTGCGATGGTTTTATGTGATCCTCTGTCCATCGTCAGGCGTGATTTCACCTGCGGCCGACCTTATCCCACAGATGAGCCGGTATGCACACGCGAGCCGCAGCCCATCAGCACCCGAGGCGGCGGCGACCACGAGGACGATGACGACGACGACGACGATGACGACGACAACGGGGTGTCGGCGGCCGCGCCGCTGTCGACGCTGTTGCTGCTGGCGGCGGCCGCGACGGCGCTGTTCCGCTGAGCGCGCGCGGCGCTCAGGGACGCGCCTTTGGACCTGCGGGATACGGGGGCGGCCTCCGACGGCCGGCCTGCCGTGGTCACGGTGATCCAGGAGTCCTGCGATGGTTCGTGAAACCAATAAACAGTCAGCAAGTACGATAAGGTCCGTCTGGTCAATGTGGTTGCCGTGATGTTCTGGCTCTTATATGTCATGACGTGCAATGATCTTGTGACTAAGTGGCTTCTGGGGACCGAACTGACGCCCACATTCCCCCCGGCTATCCGAAGACCTCGGATGGCCGATGAAGCCTACGAGCTGAAGCAGTGATGCCTTTTACAGACAGACACATATCTTTCAGTCCGTCCTATCATCAGCTGTGTCGCTGTGTTACTCAGAATGGTGAAGGTGTTCTTGTTTTGGGTACTTTTCGCGTTGTGAGAAACAAGACAAGCTCTTGGATGCTAGTATGTATTGTAGGATTCGTATTAGATGATAGTTTCGACCAACCATCAAAACTGCGACTGTCTAGATCCGATGGCGGATGGTTGAACTCGTTTTAGCACGATAAATCGGTGCACAGATGCGTCTATTGGCACACACAAGGGAGGTTTTGCCGCTGAACGGTTAACCCTCGCCCGCACATGGGGGGGGGGGGTGGTTGCCACCCCCCCCCCCAGGCAGTCTTTCTGCTCTGCACTCCATTTTTAAAGCTAGAAGGCTGATTTTTCGTATAGCTGCTCGTCTATCCTTTCTTGATGTCCACTGAAAATTTCAAGTTTCTGTGATTTTTGGTTTCGGAGATAGGGGAGAGTGGGGTAAGATGCCCAGGGTGGGAAAGACGCCCCACCCCCTCTAGCGGCGAAACAAAGAATCGAACCAGGAAATTAATGTTTTTAGCGTAAAGCGGAAGCCTGCCTTGTTGACTGCACAAAAATTTGCGAAGCTCAGTTGGGCAACGGCTGGCTGGTGATTGCATGTTTTTTATTTGCTGCTTTCAAAAAATATTTTGGTGTCAAAACATTGTAAATATCAAAGAAGGTAGATAATTTTTGCGTCCCTTGCTATAGTAGTGATACATTAACATGCGTGTACTGTGACCCAAACAGTTTGTTTCACGGTGTAGTTTTATGGCTAACAAATTGTACTGATTTAATGTTACTTCGGTACCTTGGGGTAAGATGCCCCCTGTCCTGATGGGGAAAGACGCCCCCCTAAATCCGTAGGCTGTCCTTCAAGCAGCCCTTCAAATCATTTATTACATACTTGTGATGAGAGACAAAAGCCGATCTGGGACTATTGAGAGTCCAGTACGGTCGGGTGCTCCCCATGCCGGTCTCTCGGCACACACAGCGACTTTTTGGGCGGCATCTGACTCTGAGAGCCCTCACGATGGCCTATGTGGGCCCCATTATTGGCTCCAGGGCCCCTCACGACATCCTTTGAGGGCTCCCACGTTGGCTCCACGGGCCGCGCTGGCATCTGAGGTCCCCACGATGGGCTCGAGGGCCCTCAAGCATCATGAAGACCTATAAGGGCCCCACAGTGGTCTCCGAACGCCACCACGGAGGCTTGTTTGGTCGCACTGGACTATGATGGCCCTAACGATGACCTCTGAAGCCCCTTACGACTACTTTTGAGGGCCCTTACGATGACGTTTGGTGTCTACTGCAGGCTCGAAGGGACTACTGATTCGTTCAGGCGATTCACGTGCCCATTTATGTCACTTATAGTGCAGGGGGCATCTTACCCAACGCCAGGGGGCGTCTTTCCCACCCTGTGGGGTAAGATGCCCCCTTTCACTTCTTCAGGAAAATGCTTAATAGCAAAAAAAGTTATCATATTTCAGGCACGAAAGTGTGATATTTTTGGAGAAAAATGATGTCGGCTTCCGTTGAAACTCCAAGTTTTTGCTTTCCGATCGTCATTTTCGAATAATATATGACATAGTAAAACCCTGGGCATCTTTCCCCACTCTCCCCTATGACCTTGTTTTTCAGGTCATGTCATGACCCAAATGGCCAATTCTCAACATCTTGCGTTTGCCATGGGCCTTGTGAGCTTTTGACACCCTGATTTCGGCCTTTTTTGCCAGTCTTACCTCCCACCTATCATGGAACATGTTGTTCGACGATGTACAGGGGTCAAGGTCAGGGTCAAGGTCAACCTAGGTCATCTAAGATAATTGCGTTTTAGGCAAGCTGAATTTACTTTTTGTGAAGTTTTTTGACTGCATTTTTGGTAAAAGCTTCTCAGATCATGATTTCATGTGATATGGACCCAAAAACAATCGGTGCACACATCAGTATACACACAGACACACACAGACATACAAACACATATAATTGACCTTGACCTAACTTGACCTGAAATGACCTCAGCAGCAAAATTCTGGTCGGATAGTGTGACAAAGAGGTTCTAGCTGGCTTGGCACCAGAAAACAGCATCGTCATCGGTATTTGATAAGCAGCGCACTTGATATCCAACGGTGACCCAAAACAGCAACATTTTTTAGTTTGACCTGACCTGGAAGGTCAATGACTGACCTGAGAAGGTAAAACTGGGTATCATTGGATTCGTCTCTTCCCAAAGAATCTTTTTGGTCTTTACTGCTAAGCTCTATCTCCAACAGGAACGAAATGGCGCGGGGGGTGGCAACCCCCCCCCCCCCCCATGTGCGTTCTAGGATGGGAAAATGGCATGTGCGGGCGAGGGTTAACATAAGATGGTACCTATAAGCACCCCAGCGGTACCCGTGTGTACCTACCCCAGCAGCATGGTGGACAGGATACAAGCTAACAAGATGTGTTAGATCATCGTGATCGTGTTTATATTTGCCAAGAGCCTGTAGGTGCGAAAAACAGCCTTATGTAACTAGACGAAATAGTGCCGATACTTTGTGCCATTTGCTTTGAATTGGAAATAAGGATGGACACAGGACAACTCCAGAGCTATGGCTTCTGCGTGAATGTACTGTATACATATGTACCATGGTTAGAATACAGGAATAAAATATATAAATATTGACACAGTTTCGCCTCCGAAGGTTGGCCTAAGAGGTCGAACAGGGTACCATAGTAATCCAGTCATAGTTTTCATAATTCACGACATACTAGCTCGCAGCCGAACGGGATCAATATCCGTTAGGCATGTTAATCAAAGTGGACTTTGTCTGAACATGATAGGCTCGCGGGATATCCACGACGATCCAATTGTTCCATGGAGCCGATACGAGGGCGGGGAAGCGGAGCTCCTGCACTTCCTTTGACTTGATCTTTGACTTCGCTCCTGGGTCACATAGCGAGAAACGGCGTTTCAAACAGTTTTAACCCTCACCGGCCGAAGGGGATAGAGCAGGTGCCGATTTTCAAGTTGGGGGGGGGGGAGCCTAAAATACCTGACATGATGCATATGAAACAGTGGCGTAGCTGGGGCTCTTAGGGGACACGTACCCCCCCCCCCCCCCATTGGGTTCAAGGGACCCTCAGGTCCGAGGGTCCCTGCGGCGCCATTTGACCGCTGAAGGTTAACGATGACCATATTTCGACTCAGAAGGGCCCCATGGGGTTCGTTAGAACACCTCATGGGCCCTAAATAGCCACACTAATGCGTGGTTCACACCGGATCCGTAATGATCGTTACGTTCCGTAATGAATACGGTGGCGATTAAAAAATATCTCGAAAGTGGAGGGCACAATGCAACGCGCATGCGTAGTTCGATTTTTTGACGCCGTAACGCCGTAGTGGTTACGGATTCGGTGTGCACCGGGAATTGCCATCTCTGAGCGTCACCGTTCGAAGCAAGTGCGCCAAAACTCTATTTTGTTTATAGGCAAGCGGAAAATAGACTAAAGCCAAGAGCTGTTTTTAATATTGGAGCGCCAGAATGTAGACTTGTTTTACTCTCTTCCTTTTAATTTGTTAATTTTGCTCTGACATAGCGATCTGCAATTGTATCGAGTCATATCATTGTTAATTAAACGCCGGTGGGCAGAACACTGGACGGAGATTCTTGCATTATTTATTGCATTACAAGCGGGCATGTCTATGCCCGTCAACGCTGAAGTTTATTTCTTACATTCCTTGCTATTCGTGGGTCAGTGGGTGATGGGAATACCAACGGACGCCAGAATCTGGATTGTATACCATTTGCTCGATTGGCTTGCCAAGAGTCAATGTGGATTCAAACGTCTGCCAATATCTACAAGTCCAAGTATCAAATTTAGCAAGTAGCAGGGACAATATGGCCGGTGATGTTTACTCAGAACTCCATGAAACTCAGAACTGAAAACTCCACATACAAGATGCAAAACACCCAACCCTCCTAACAGTGTTCTATTACCTTCTTCCTGGTGTTCATTTGGAAGCGCGAGTAATTTAAGCGGGGAAGGGACTAAATTAACTTTCCTCAAGTGCTCAGATATGTACTGTGCAATTACACCGCTAACGGTGTTAATATTTTTCTGTGTGCAAGAAATAGTAATTATTGGCAGGTTGATTCAAGCTAAGGTAAAAGGCCAAAGAGTCTGCACGTGTGCACGAGCAGACCGCTGCCCTAGTCAACATTTGGAAGCTTCACAACCGCTCGGCGATACCTTGGCTTAATCTACCAAAGATGCAATCCCAAGCAATTGGAACATGCCATTAAAAAGGGTAAGCACGCGCACGTGTGCAGACCAATACGCTCGCTGACCTGTGAGTGTGGAGTCTTCTAATATGCATGGTGTTATTCAGCATACTTAATATAAGCTCTACCGGCCCAGCCGATCTGCGGTTATAGAAAAAGGGTGCGCACGTGCGCACGTGCTAGCCTATACCCTCGCTGACCAGTACAAGCTGCAGGTCAGCATGGTGTCATTCGGCATGCTTAATATGAGCGTTATCGGCCCAGCGGATCCCGAGATATGGAGAAGGGGTACGCACGTGCGCACGTGCAAATCAATGTCTTTGCCAACCCGTGCAATCTGGTTATAAACATGGTGTTATTCAGCATACAAAATATGAGCGCTATCGGCCCAGCCGATCCACAGATATGAAAAAGGGGTACGCACGTGCGCACGTGCAAATCAATGTCTTTGCCAGCCCGTGCAATATGCTTAAAAACATAGTGCTTTTCACCATACTTAATATGAGCGCTATCGGACCATCCGATCCCCACATACTAAAAAGGGGTACGCACGTGCGCACGTGCATGCACAGGTCTTTGCCAACCTGTGCAATATTCATATTTACATGTGGTGTCCTCTAGCATACAAAATATGAGCGCTATCGGCCCAGCAGATCCCGAGATATTAAATAGGGGTGTGCACGTGCGCACGCGCTGAAGGAATTCAAAGCCGTTCAAAGGTCAACGGATGTGTAGTGTGCACCCAGCTAAAACAACAAACAAATTTTGAGCTGTATCGCTTCAGCCGTTCCCGAGTTATGAAACGACGAGCTCTTCTGGAACCTCTCTCGTCGCACGTGGCACGCGCTGTAACAGGCACTCATGAGTTTTATGGATAGCACAGTTCCATGAAGAAAAGATGCATCCCCTCTCCAAAGAAGACCGCTCATCAAACAGTCAAACCGTTTTGGAGATACATGTCAACAAAAGTCATTACGGCGGTCGGTCGTGCCGAAAAGTTCAATTTTCCCAACTTCTGTAACGTTCCGTAACGAGTACGGTGGACGCTGCCAGTTTACGGCGGCTGGTTGCCAAATTTCAACTTCGTCTAGAAAAGTCGCAATGCTTGGGGAATCTTGAGAAATGTCTTGCTCATTACGGCCGTAACGGTTACGGCGTCATTACGGATCCGGTGTGAACCACGCATAAGATCTCCATAAGGGCCCCAATCCGGCTTCTGAGGACCTCTCACGGCTTTAAGAGTCCCTCGGTGGTCTCCAAAGGCCCGTTACTGGCCTCTGAGAGTTCTTATTGGCCTATGAGGGGCCAGTTCTAGGGGCATTTCCCACATGTGATGGTCCCACACTTATTTTTCTGAGGGCCGCATAACGGCAACTGTGGGGCCCTCGTCGGCGCCTATGATCGGCCCCCACCGGTGTCTCTGAGGGTTTCACACCCCCAACTCTGAGTGCCTACACCAGTGCCTATTAAAGCCCTATATCGGCGGCTCTGAGGACCCAACCAACACCTGCGCATCTAAAGGCCAGCCACTGGTGACTTTTGAGGGCCGGCCCACACCGGTGACTCTGAGGGCCCCACCGGCGTCTGACAGTACCATGCCGGTCTCTAAGTAAGGACCCCACAAAACTTCTTCTGCCGGCCTAAGGGCCCCTTGCCGGTCACTGAGGAGAACCCTCTGCCGGCTTGTAGAGGGTTCGCGTCAGCGGCTCTAAAGGCCCCACTCCCGTCTGTAACGGCTCCACACCAGCGTCTATGAGGGCCCACAGCAACGCCTGTAAGACTAAGGACCCTCACCGGCAGGAGCGGATCCAGGAAAACTCCAAGGGGAGGGTCATGAATCGAAGTGGTGCCCCTACCTATACCCAAAATTAAAAACTCAACGGATTTCGTCCACTTCATTTTGGGGGTGCCCCCATTTTCAGTTTTTTTTTATCTTTTATTTTTAGTCAGTATCTTAACTCTTAGCCACAACCACATTTACCAATTGTAAGCAAGTACATATGAATGTGCTATGTGTATATATGTTGTGGACGCTGAGTAGTGAGTACTTACCAGGAACGTTATCAGGTAAGCAAATCGTTGTCAGTCCGACGAACTTGACCCTGGCGTCTAAAGCGTCTGTCCTCGACACTTCAGGCTTGTCAGGGGCACCAAAGTCCTTCCAGGGACACCACAAACCTGTCAGGGGCACCTACGGCCTTGTAGGGGCGCCACAGGCCCGCCAGGGGCACCACAGGCCTGCCAGGAAGCAGGGGCACCACAGGTCTAGCAAGTATACACGACAGGCCTGTCAGGGGCACAACGGGCCTCTTGGGCCCATGAGCACCCCTAGGGGCAGGGGCACCACAGTCCTTCCAGGGGCACCGCAGGCCTGTGAGGGGCACCAGCGGAATAGCAGGGGCACCAGTCAACACAGGCCTGCCAGGGGCACCACAGACCTGCCAGGGGCACCAGAGGCCTGCCAGGAGCACCACCGACCTCGCAGGGGTAACTTGGGCCTGTCAGGGCCCAGGGGCTCCACGGGCCTGTCGAGAGGCACTTCAGGCTTTTCAGGGGCACCATAGTCCTCTCCGGACGCAGGGGTAGCAGGGGCACCAGAGGCCTGCCAGGGGCACTACAGGCCTAGCAAGGGCACCACTGGTCTATCAGGGGCACCACGAGCCTGTCACAGCCAGGCATCTCAGGCTTGTCAGGGCCCAGGGGCACCACAGGTCTGTGAGGGGCACAAGCGACCTAGCAGGGGCACCAGTCAACACAGGTCTGCCAGGGGCGCCAGACCTGCCAGGGGCACCACAGACCTGCCAGGGGCACCAGAGGTCTGCCAGGGGCACCACCGGCCTCGCAGGGGCACCTTGGACCTGTCAGGGGCACCACGGGCCTGCCGAGGGGCACTTCAGACTTTTCAGGGGCAACAGTCCTCTCCGGGCGCAGGGGTACCAGCGGCCTAGCAAGGGCACCAGAGGCCTGCCAGGGGCACCAGCGGCCTAGCAAGGGCACCAGAGGCCTGTCAGGGGCACCACAGGCCTAACAAGGGCACCACGGGCCTGTTAGAGGCACCTCAGGCTTGTCAGGGCCCAGGGACACCACAGTCCTTCCAAGGGCACCGCAAGCCTGTCAGGGGCACCAGAGGCCTGCCAGGGGCACCACAGGCCTAGCAAGGGCACCACTGGCCTGTCAGGGGCACCTCAGGCTTGTCAGGGCCCAGGGGCACCACAGTCCTTCCAGGGGCATTACAAGCCTGTCAGGGGCACCAGAGGCCTAGCAAGGGCACCACAGGCCTGCCATGGACACCACAGGCCAGCCAGGGGCACCACCGGCCTTGCAGGGGCGCCTCAGGCCTGTCAGGGGCACCACGTGCCTGCCGGGGACACTTCAGGCTTGTCAGGGGCGTTACAGTCCT